ATACGTGCCACCGGGCAAGCAAGATCTTTCGGTTCCGTTTGACAGCCCTAAGTGAGTGCTTTCAAATGCACACACTCTTGTCTCCACGCGTAGGATTACATAATTTTTAAAACGCTGAAATGATATAGTCTCCATGCTCCGGACGTCTGCCCTAAGTGCCGCCGGCCGAGCACGAGCACGAGCACGATATTGCGATGCCAGCTGATAGCCCTGAGCCAGTGATATCACACGCGCACTGTCCCATCCTCCGCGCAATTATAAACCTTTTAAGCACCGTCTTATTTTTGTAGCGACACGCGTTTGCCGGCCTTCCGCATTTATCAATAGATTGTGATGAAAATATTTGGTTTTCCAGACGCGTGGACTGCAGCGGTCGTTTTGCGCCCACTACACGTCACATATCTCATGTAGTCGGTCCGTACGAGTGTTGCATGCCAAGCGCGCTGATCCAACACGCTTGAGGCAAGCACATAAGAGCTCGCGCCGTTCACCAGTAGGCTGTGAGGCATCCTATCAAGCAAGCAGGCTGCGCTGGGAGATTCTGACTTGTTGTGTCGTGTCGTGACCCTGAGCAAGGGTTTTGAAACGCGTCCCATTCTCCGCGCGCAAGTATCATCAATATTTTTAAAACGCTGCCGTAGTTTCGTCTCTCAGTGCCGAGCGGCCCAACACATTGACTAATACGCTGTCGGGGGCTCATATCAAAGAAAAGGGCGCCTCCGGGCGAGCGGAATATTGCAGCGCGAGCCGATAACCCTCCGCAAGCGGTGGCCATTCGTTTGGTGGGGGATTAAATTTGACCCCCGAAGGTTAAAAAAAAATGTTATTTTCAGCCAGCAGAGCGCAGTCGCGCCAACGTTTGCATAACTGTGGGGAACTTTATAGTGGATCGTTTGGTGCATGAAATAGAGGAGAAAAATAAGATACGATGTTTGGTGCACGAAATAGAGAGAAAACAAAATAGATGTACATTGTAAAGGCTGCTGACCTATGGAAGGACAAAGTAAGAGCGTGGGGGTCAGAGAAGGCAATTTCAAGGAAACCGTTCAATCTGATGCACCACCGGAGTATTAGATAAAGCCATACATCTCCGAGATCGTTTCTTAGGCAGTACAGTAATTTAATTAAGGATTTCGACAAATTACATTAATCTGTGGTCAGGTATGAAGGTCACGCCAAGCTTAAAACCAGTCTGCATTTTAATTGAAGAGCTTGGTTTTAAGAGTAGACTCTGGTACTCATATCATTTTGTTATGTAACAGGGACCACAAACATTCAAATTCGAACAGAATACCTAAGCTGTTAAGTGCATGTGCGAGGAAAATTATGCACAGATAAGGCGGCAGTAATAGCCTTATCGATGAGAAATGCCGTAGGGTTGCCCCACAACATTAAGGTGAACAAGGTCACTGACCTTAAATGAACACCAGTGACCGCTCACTTAGAACAAGCAATCAGGCTCAAGACGGTTGCGTGAGAAAGTCCAGGCCGAGCACTTTGGACGCCGCTTTTGAGTTTAACCTCATTTGACCAGAATGTCATGACCTATGGACCTCAAATCTTGACTAAAGGGGGCTCACGTGCAGACCAATCGACCCTATGAGTTTAATGCCTTTAACCCCCTTATTATTTCAGATCCCATGGTTGTCAAATTGACCCTCCCCCGCTCGTGCCAAAAGTTCTCATCCGACCCACCCGGGAGGGTGTCAGATGAGCAAGATCATACCTTCAGCGAGTGATTATCGTAAAAAAATACCGCTCTAGGTTTGACTCCACACGCGATCGCTTGCCTAGCACATAAAGTAATAGACTGCCAAGGTCTTGACGAACAAGTAGGAAATTACGAAATAAATAGGCAAATGAACATCCATCAATAGGAAGTAAGAGAGTCGTCAAACAAATAGGTTCCGCCACCCGAGCACGCCGTCACAGTGCCAGTCGACAGCTCTCAGCCATTCCCAGCAGGCACGCACGGTTCCGCCCTCCCCAGGCAAGTAAAGCCATTTTTAAAGCGCCGTCATTTTTAGTCTCGACAAGGACAGGCCGGCAGCCAGCATTCATTAGTACACCACCAGAGGCTTCTTTCAGACAAAAGGAGCCGCCTGCTGATCTCATTGTTTCGGTGTCGTTCGATAGGCCTGAGTCAGTGCTTTCCTCGTGCAATATCCTATCCTCTGCTCGCTAACATCGGCAGCAGGCGCCGAGAGGACGTCAGCATTCCATGGTTTGCCGTGATGGACTCATATCAAATAGGCGTCGGCGGCCGCGGCTTCTTGCTGTGTCCGGTTCAAACCTCCGAATGGTGCCCGTTCCGGTGCAGTTCCAGTGTTCGGATGTCGCTCGGCAGTCCTGCATGCTATCAATTATATATATATATATATATATATAACGAAACTATGACAGCGTTAGAGAGAGAGAGAGAGAGAGAGAGAGAGAGAGAGAGAGAGAGAGAGAGAGAGAGAGAGAGAGAGAGAGAGAGAGAGAGAGAGAGAGAGAGAGAGAGAGAGAGAGAGAGAGAGAGAGAGAACGAGAGAGGAGAGAGAGAGATATATACATATATATATATATATATATATGTATATATATATATATATATATATATATATATAATATATATATATATATATATATATATATATATATATCTCTCTCTCTCTCTCTCTTCTCTCTCTCTCTCTCTCTCTCTCTCCTCTCTCTCTCTCTCTCTCTTCTCTCTATATATATATATATATATATATATATATATATCTCTCTCTCTCTCTCTCTCTCTCTCTCTCTCTCTCTCTCTCTCTCTCTTCTCTCTCTCTCTCTCTCTCTCTCTCTCTCTCTCTCTCTCTCTCTCTCTCTCTCTTAACGCTGTCATAGTTTCGTTTGCACGCGCTGGGCTCAAGCACGCTTTCAGTGATGCCAGGAGCTTACATCAAACAAGCAGGTGCCCCCAGACCAGCACGACCAGCACAGCACAACCAGCGGCATAACAAAGTCCACAAATGTATAGGCTTTTGAACTGAGACAGCTCTTTTAGAGATCATTCGATGCAATTCACAGCCATACCCTTAGGCGTTCAAACACTGCTGTTTCTTAGCTTGACACACGCAAACTCGTGCAGACGATTTCGTGCAACATGTTTGAAAGCCACCCAGACATACATGACTTTGAAGACACGAAACACACGCGAATAACGCAAATACCGCCTCATCAATGGCCATGTAGTGCTCAAGGTCAAGAAAAATATGATCATCCATTTATTCGTGTTTGGCGTACATCAGCACGAATCTCCGCGTCCACGGACAGCAGAGAGCATACTGGTATGCTTTTTAATGCGAAATACTACGCTGGACAATACAATTTCATTGCCAAGTAAATGCACTTCTCAATACGTTATCGCTTGATTATGTTCTGAAACGTTTTTATAACGTCAGAGTAACTGCCAGACTGCCCTGCTAGAATTACCACTGCAGTGAACAGGCTGACCCACTTGTATTTCAATTTACCGAGGTGTGGTTTATTAACTAGTCCATGTTTGATGAGCCCGAGTACCACTGTGTGCGCTTGTTTTGGAGCCCATTCTTGTGTATTTGTTCGTGTTTTTATATCATTAATCGCATTTACATACTCCGTTACGGTACCATTCTTAAGTTATTCGACTCCCAGTCTAATGCCCGGCACAACTGATAGGACTGCTCGATTGCCTGCATTACGCATGGCAAAACGCGGTTCGTGATTGAAACCTGCATTTAACGCGCTAAGCTGGTTGGAAGCCAACTGCTGTCCGTTGATGTCGTGATTTGTATTGGTGTTCTCCGGACATGAGTAAGTCAAAAGAAGTGTTTTCTTGACCTTGAGCATAGTATGGGAATTGGGAAATCGGAATTCGTCTGACGTCGCTATGTTGCTATAGTCTCTGCGTGATTTCAAAATAGACGCGCGCGAAATAGTCTGCACAAGTTAGCGTCTGAGTGACTCAGAAACATATGAGAATCTGAGAACCTCTAAGGGGTATGGCTCTTCAACTGCAGGAAAGGATCCTCTAAATGGCTATCTGAGTTCTAAACCCCACGCAGATGTGGAACAGCCCCCTCAGCAAAGTTGCGCGCGGCGGAGTTCTGAGCCGTGCGTGTTTGAAAACATTAGCTCAGGGCTATCAAACCAAGCCAGGATACGGAGATGGGCCGGTAGTGTCTAGGTGCCTGTTCTGATCACGTGACACCGCTTTGCTTGATGCGAGTAGCTGGTCAGCACATGTCGGGACGAAAATGCGGTCCTTTTTATAAAAAGTACACACACGCATATATATATATATATATATATATATATATATATATATATATATATATATATATATATATATATATATATATGTGTGTGTGTGTGTGTGTGTGTGTGTGTGTGTGTGTGTGTGTGTGTGTGTGTGTGTGTGTATTTACACGCGGAGAGCGGGATCATGCACAGTTGATGACAATGGCTGAGGGCTAACGGCTGACGCCATAACATCTTCCTCGACAAGAGTTACCTGTTTGGGTGATATAACCCCAGACAGTGTAATACTGTATGCAGGTGACTACATGGGGCATGGAAACAAAAGTACGTCTGAGCCTAAGACAAAAGTGTAATCAAGGACAAATTATGGGGCTGCACGCGTTTGAAAGCACTCGCCTAGGGCTGTTGGGCCGCACAGACATCTATATCAGCCGCCGGCACCTATATAGTTTAATATGACCCGCTTGTATCACCAAGTGTCACATTACAGAGGCCAGCCGGCGCGTGACGGGACGAGAGTACTGCAACGTTCTAAAAGAAGTTGTCTCGCGTGTGGCTTCCTGCATGCAAATCACCGATATTTCGATCGACCAGGTGGTTGATAAGCGCGCTAGGGTGTGCTGGTGGACGACGGCGGGCGGGTGTTTTGCCTGGTGATCAGCTGGTCAGATTCGTCCCTCCCCAGCACTGATCTGCTCTTACGACGCAGACAGGACAATTTCCTTCAGTTTTACGTAATCGTATATTGCGTTCAGTCCCTTAATATGACCTAGCACACCATGTTTCATATACAAGGTGCCAGGACATCAAAGCACGCAGTCAAATACGATGTCGCTCACTCTGGCAGGTCAGCCGCGCCCACTCCGCCCTGCTCTCGGCACGCACCGGCGCACGCCGCACTCCTCGGTGACGACGCAGGTCCGGTTCCATACAGCGGCAGTCCAGGAACCGCCGCGGCCCGGCGCGAGCGCCGTGCTGGCGCATGGCGGCTGTCGAGGGGCGCCGGGGTGTCCCGCGCTGTCAGGTCCGCCCCGAATGTAACCCGATCACGCCGACCGTCGGGGGCGTGCCGGAGTGCGGCACATGGTTCAGTGGTACGCAGTTCGTGTGATTCAACGCGTTCATGCCTATCACAGTTGCATGAGGAGCCGCGTGTGCGTGTAACGGCCGCTCAGGCGCAGAGAACGCTTGACAGAAAGCGTTGGCAGTGAAATCTCCTGGCCTGCGTCACAACATTAAACCCGTTCACAACCGCAGCGCACATCCAGTCAGGGTCTCAAAGCGCCCACGTGGGATGGCGCGGCCAGCATAACACCACGTATTACAGGCAGTCACACAGGCAACGCGACCCGCCGGCCCGCCGTGTCCGATTTCGAATGCCACCGGTCCCGTGTGACTCATCACGTGGCAGGACATGAGCCGACAGAACTGAGCCCGGCTTCGTGCTGACCGGAGACACCGGTGTTGCCGCCGAGCTGGGGCGCGAGCGGTCCTTTTTAATCCATGTCTTACTGCATGTCTCTGCATCGCGCTAAAAAGTAAAGGGTAGTCGCCCCAGCCATCCTCCAATTTGCGAACGTATGTTATCTGGTCCGCAGTCCGTTGCGTTCGACATCTACACAGCCGACACGCTCCCGTCCTCACCATGGCAACGAGCAGGATGTAGTCAGGGCGCAAAAGCATCACTTGCTTTTGACCGCAACCCAATTTCGGTGCTGTCGCGCCCACCAACGCAACGGTGGAGCACGACCCCTCGCTCCCGAAGCACGTGTCCAAGTTCGGAGCCTGTCAGCACGCGTTAATTTTACATTTCAGCACATCACATTTTGAGTTTTCGTTTGCCTTTCGTATCCTCACACGCGCATTCTCACATGACGCCTGACGTGACGCGTGACGCATCGTGACTGGTCGCTGGTTTGCGGTTTCACATCAAGCCGTACCCGCCCGCGCAGCTGGGCCACGGCGTGGCGTGGCGTGGCGTGGCGTGGCGCACCAGCGGCAGCATCGGCAGCTGCAGCATAGGTCAGCGGGCGCGGTCACAGTTCCTGCGCTGAGCGGGAGCTGCCGGCGGCAGCCGCGCCCCCTTTCTGCTGCGAGGGCGGGTCCGTCTGCGCCCAGGCGGCGACCACGAACGTCTCGATGTCGGCTTCGTTAGTGCCGCGTCGGATGCGGAACAGGCCCTGCTCGCCCCAGCTGCTGCCCCACGAGTTGGCCACCAGCTGAGAACAGGTCGGTCCAGACGTGGGAGACACGCCACGGCAGCCCTGCTCCCTTCCTCACTCGAAGGCGTCGAGGGAATCAGGGAAGATGTCAGTTGACTGTGAGCGCACGGCCCTACAGTAAGAGAGGTCTGACCGTAAGTTCGACAAGTCATCCAGAATGCAGCTTAAAATGCGGCGCAGCCCACCAGTAAAAAACAATGTGGCGTCGGCAGCTCACCTACTCTCTGGCCGCGACCAAGCACTAGAAGACACAGAGGGCCCGACATAGGCGTCCCAAGACCAGTCAGCACTGAGATGTGGCGCTCTGTGATGTCAGAACTGTCTCCTGAGGCGGGAGGAACCGATCACACTGCCTGCCGGCCAGCAGCGCGGCTGAGGCGCAGTCGGGACATCCCCCGCCTGGCTGGGTCGGGTCGCCCGAGGTGTGACGCTCCGGCCGACGGCGGGTCAACAGGACGCGGCGCCGGGGACTGACGCCCGAGTCTGCTGAGGTCGCGCCACCGCCGCCGGCCGCCGCCGGAAGCCAGGACACGGGATCCGGACGGCAGGCCGGTCAGTCCGGCACTGGCCCGACGTCACCCGAGCTTGGAATGCCGGCTGGCCTGGCCGAGTCAGGCGCCGGCCGACGCTCACCCCGCTGCCGCCGCGCCGGCCAGCTCGCTTCTGTATCCAAAACCGGAGAGCGGCGACGGGGGACGGGGGAGGGACTATTACTCGCGGTGTTCGAGTGCACAGCAGTCCTGTTGAGCAGCGCCGCTCACTGTAGCGGTGAGCTGCTCTCATCGTTGTACCCACAAAGCTTCCGTCATTACTGGATCCGCCAGAGGACGATCCGCTTAAACGAAGACGCGGAGATGAGTCTCACCCAGAATGGAACCGTGTCGCCGGCTGGGCCGCGCTGCTCGCCCCATCCGAGAATGCGGACCGAGTGGTAAGCCGCCTCATCGGTCGGCTCCGGGCTGGTGCTGTACACACCCGACTTGTACAGGAACAGGTCCGGCTGCACGCGAAGGATGGCTGCCAAACATGGCACCGCGAGCTTAGCGACCGGCCGTGGACGTCAAACAAGCGGGGCCTGCGGGCTGGGACGCCAACATACTCAGAGTGAAGGGTAGCCAGACGGTGTCCTGTCGAGTTAGCCAGGAGAGTGAGTCCAGAAAAGGCAGATCCGGGTATTTTTGTCTCATGGTGAAAAGATCACTCAACCTTAAGAATGTGTATACTTCTATAGTTTGCGGCGGCAGGTGACTGGGAAACAGCACCATGACAAACGCGATGATAGTTGACAAAACTATACGGGAGCATGCATTATAAGAGCGAACGAGTCCTTTAGCCACATTATTGACGGACTTCAAATATCATCAGACCTGCCTGCTCATGGAAGGTACCTACAATCATCTGGATCCATGTCCTTTGTATGGAACCAAGCCCGAAGCACGGCACTGTCCAATCGGCGTCTTCCCAGCCGGGGGGGGGGGGGGGGGGGGGGGCTGCCCAGCTGGCGCGGCACCTGCTCCTGGCCACAGTTACCGAGGGCCACGGACGGTGACGGCGACCGACAGCACAATGGCCGGTCAATCCGGCGCAGGGAATTGGAACGGTTCGTCCTCCCGGTGTCGCCGAGCCAGTCACGTCTCCCGGCAGCCTGGGCCGGCCGGAGCCGCGCACGGGACCGAACAGCGCCGGCCGGCAGCCGAACCCACCCTGGACCGGCCCGTTGGTGAAGATTTCGTGTCGGATGTCGGCCTCGTCGCTGGCGATGCGGTACGTGGGCTGGGTGCCGTGCAGCTGCTGGTCGCTGACGCGGCTGCCGTCCTGGCACAGCCGGCCGCCGCCGGCCGGCGCCAGGCAGAGGCCCGGCGCGCCATCCGCGCCCGACCGGTATGGGTAGCACGCGCTGGAGCTCACCCTGCGGCAGCCGCACGGACACGCCGTCAGCGCGGCGCGGCGTACAGGTCGCCCGAACGCGGCCTGTAGCCGGGACAGGCCTGGTGGATGGTTAGAGCTGCTGGGGGAACCATTTCGTTCTGTTCGTTCCAAACAGTCTATAGAGAACCGGTCACGGATGCTGAATTATGTATGCATAGACTGCTTGCTGCTGGCAGCTTGGCCCTTCCTGACAATTCTGATCAAGCTGACAGTTTCTGTGCAAGTTTAGTTACTGGCTAAGTAAGTAACTGAACTAAGCACATCAATTTACTTAGACAGAAAATGATATGGCTAAGAAGCACAGCTACCTCCACAAGTAAAAATTGCATTCCACCTTACGTATAAATCCAATCGAGATACATAGAAAACACAAGACCTGTTTGAAGGGGACATAGCGTTTGTGACACCGAAATCCTGCGCAGGAATTAACGTTGTTTACTATCAAAAGGGCATGCATGAGGAGCCCGCGCCCTACCGAGGAACAGAAGGGGCCTGGAGAGAAGGCCTGAGGCAGAAGACATGCGGATACACTCACTTGTTCTTTTAGTAACATAAGGATAGGTACATGGTGTGGCGATCTTGCAGCAGAGATTACATGTAGTTGATTTAAATTAATGCAGTTTTATTTATAAGCACTTGCATGCATGGCACCTGATAGGTTGTTCAACGAGGCAGTTTCTGTTAAAATGATGGACGAAATCTGGCACAGCAGCACCGGCCTCTAGCTGAACTGATTCCGTACACATTTAAAGCACGCATGTTTTAGGACGCCGGACTGCGCGTAATAAAACATATAAACATAGAAAAGTTAACTTTCATGTCTTTGCTATGGTCTACTTCAGTGCTAAACGGAATCTTCGTACCATTTTTTTGGTTAAGTAAATGACGAGAACATGTCAGGACGCAAAACACCGAGCAAACTTGACATGTCTCTGTTACGGAGAGCGGATGATCCATATTGCGTTCTCGAGTCATCCGGCACTGCTTAACCTCTAGAGATAGTACAAACAACGCAAGTCAATCGGAACCAAGTTACGGCACTGTTATTGTGCTGTTACTGCAGTCCTCCTCTACAGATAGTCCGCAAGGTGCACCGCAACCCAACTCATGTCAGACAGTAGAAGTGGGAGAAGAAACACTCCGTGGACTTCTCCCAACGTTACGTCCTTGTTCAACGTCGGCTCCCAACCTGCGCGGTGAACTTCTATGAGTCTCACAAGAAATTGGCCTGCTTCATAATCGTATATAGTGTCTCACAAGAAATTGGCCAGCTTTATAGTCGTAGATAGTGGCTCACAAGAAAATGGCCAGCTTCATAGCCGTATACAGTGTCTCACAAGAAATTGGCCAGCTTTATTGTCGTATATAGCTTAGAAAGAGCACGGCGTCCAGCGCGTTGCTGAGCAAAGGTATTATTTTGTTAAGTCTGCAGGTTGGTTGAGTAGTTGGATACTGCCATCATTTAGTGTCAGAGTTCATCAAGAAAAAAAAACGAACGTCATCATGGGCTTCGCAAGAGAACACAAAGTCTAGAGACGATAATCTTCAAAATCATTCCAAGATGTTGCAAAACGTTGTAACCATGAATAGCGACGAAGTGAGAACCTAGAGGTCCTCTGATTGCGACGGGTCTTCTCAGAAAGACTAAAATCCTTCCATGATCAAGTCTGATGATTGTCGTAAACATTCTGGATATTTCAACACCGTTACGTGGCTTAATAAAGCACTGTTAAGCTCATGGGCAACCTACGTTGGTCTCACAAGCTTAGCCCCAAAATATCATTTCGATACTTTTTTTGCAAAACATCCCTCCAAAAAGACGTTGCCAACAAACACCAGTGTTCCCCGTTACAACGCTACAGAGGCCCTACTTGAGCCGACACGGGCCGGCTCCCATGCAGAATGCTCGGCCCGACACTGACCAGCTCCCATGCAGGAGGCTCGGCCCGACACCGACCGGCTCCCATGCAGGAGGCTCGGCCCGACGCCGACCGGCTCCCATGCAGGAGGCTCGGCCCGACGCCGACCGGCTCCCATGCAGAATGCTCGGCCCGACACTGACCAGCTCCCATGCAGGAGGCTCGGGTCGACACCGACCGGCTCCCATGCACAATGCTCGGCCCGACACCGACCGGCTCCCATGCAGGAGGCTCGGGCCGACACCCACCGTTTCTCCCTGAGGTAGTTCCAGGCGACATCGAGGGCGCCACCGCGGCAGCCGCGGCCGGTCTCCGGTGCGCAGTCGATGATGTTCTGGGCGCTGAGGTCAATTCGACCCAGGCCGGCCTGGATCGAGATGCGGTCGGCGGCCGCCGAGGCGGTGACCACAGCCCAGGAGGCGCCGCACCAGCCCTGGTCCACCACCGGGCCGATCAGGCCCGCCCAGGCCGGCCTCCGCCGCGCATCAAACTCCGCCGGCAGCGAGGCCCGGTCGAAGACCTTCACTATTGGGTACGTCCGGTTCACCTGTGCAGCCGGACGCGAGTGACTCTGCGGTAGGCGAAGCAAGACGGCCGCGCTCGGTGTAGTGAGAGTAGACATGTGGGAAGCATTGATGGAATAGGTCAGTCTGTCAGCTTTAGAGCAATATCGATGTGAGCTTTTCGATTCGGCTGACGATGGCAGGTGCTTTCCAAAACTATTTCCCAGCTATCTGATGCGTGGCTGGGCAGATCTTTTCAGGGACTTGTGCCGGACAGATGTCCGTTACTGACGTCGCATCGCGTCACGGTCTCACAGCAGAGAACTACGTCTCGTCTTGGCTCAGAGCAGAGTAGTGCGGCATCAGTATTATTGCCAATGACGGCAAACATATCCTGGAGTCACGATGAAGGTCAAACGATCCGTTTTAGACGATCATCAGCGGCTCGACGCCTTGGGAGTACATCAGCCACACGCTGCGTAGGGCTGTGAACGTGCTTCGGCCGTAAGACAGCTCAGCAGGTCTGCAGGCATGCCCGCTGGACGGGCTGGCGCTATACCAGTACCCACAGACCTGGGAGACGGGGCCAGCTCTGCCTGCGACCGCCAGACTCGTGTCCACTGACCAGCACCCCCGGGTGATCAGTGCCCAGCAGCAGGCGCGCTCCGTCTGCCAGTGTCCTGCCCCAGAAGTGGCTGTAGTTGGCGGCCGACCAGCCGAGCTGTGCCTCGTTGGTGCGCTCGATCAGCTCCGGCTCCACCAGGCAGACGTGCGTCTCGCAGCGCAGCTCCGGACTGCTGGCTGCACCCGTGCACGTGCTGAGGGCGTCCGACCCGGCGCGTTACCGGCGCACGGCTCCGGGCACGCGCGACGTGCGCGACTTCCAGCCCGCGCGACGTGCGCGACTCCCTGCTCGCGCGCCTCGTCTCGAGCGCCGCGCTGCCTCGCGCCGCCAGCATAGCGACGCGCGCCCGAAGCGGTACAGCCAGCGGAGCTCGTGCCAAGAAGCCGCGCAACGAACCGGCGCTGCGGGACCGATCCAGCGCTGGGCTGGCTAAAAGTCAACGCAACCGACCAGCGTTGACCTCAGGCAGGGAACATGTGCGACTTTAGAGGCAATCTCAATACTGTCGGTGATTTTTCAGTTGAAAAAACAACAATCATATGTCAAAGCATGTTACGCATTTACTATGAATTGTTCCTTATGCATGGCTTAGTGTTTGATTCGAGTCAATGGGCTACAAATCACATGATAAAAACGAAGATGCGTCGATGATTGAAACATGTCAAACACTTGAAAAAGGCCCCAAAGTCAAACAAAACCCTCTTTCTTACATTGGTCACCTTGGCCATTCATCATAGTGGCTTTTTCATAAGTTAAGATGTGGGGACAGCACAGCTCCAGAAGGTCATTAAGGCATGACGACATACCATATGTATGCATGTTTTCTCCCTAGCCTAGTTAAAACCATGCGATTATTTTAATGGGGTACATAACACTTCGTTTTACCTGTCCCGCACGTTTTGATCTCTACGAAGAATGCCAAAGGGCAGGCTTGTAAATAAGTTGCTATGTTGCACTGAAACACATTATCTGCACGACACTCCTCCGTCATGCTAAACGGCACCACCTCCGATTTTCTACAATGTGAAGGCAAGCAGAATAACCTTTTAGCTAATTTGTGTAGTAAAAGGAAGTCATGCATGTACTCACCATGTGTTGCAGTTATCCTTTACTGTTTCGTTATAACTAATATCTTGGCCCTGGTGCAGACAGGCTGAAAAAGACCGGGTCGAAGTGTTTTCGGCAATATAAACAAGCTGCATTCGGATAGATTGGTAGAACAGCCTATACGAGACAGAGACAAACGCAGATCTACTGGAAGAACAATGCCTGAATAAGGCAGAATCCTACTGACATGAAAGGAACGCGTCAGGCTGTGGGCCTGGCTGTGTAACACATGTCAGCTTCCTCCGTATTCGGTGGCGGCACTGCACTCCTGCACTACAGTCTGCACTGCACTCCTGCACTACAGTCTGCACTGCACTCCTGAGGGGCCAAGTCCGCTGGGACTGGCAGTATTTCGAGAGACTGCTCATCATCAACGGTGAGCTCACCGAGCCCGATCCACACCGATCTACGCACTGGCGTTGCTGATGTACGGGTTGGGTTCTCCGAGACAGAAGGTGAAGTAGTCCGGACAGCAGTCGCCGCTGAGCGAGCGGTCGCAGAACTGGTCACAGTAGCAGAGCGTGCCGAGAATGGGCACACTGCACTCGTCCTGCCTCTCCAGACAGCACTGCACTGCCCGTGCAGCACACAGCCAATCAGTGGTGCGTCTCTCGCACAGTTAACACGCCAACAGTGGTGTAGGGAATACTCAGTAAACACGCGATCACTGGTGCAAACTAAACGCCCTTCAGTAACCACGCAATCAGCGGTTCCACGCCCGCCCAGTAAGCCGATCACTGGATCATCTGTACAGGATGAGCAGGCGCAGTGAAGGGTGCGTGCGTGTGCTCAATGCCCAGAGTACCGCAGATGCAGGGTCAGGGATATAGGTGCCGCTCGACTGCGTCTCGGCAAACAGGTGACGAGGGGTGACCCGTTAGAGCTTCACGAGATGGCACCACAGACAACATTGTACTGGCGACGCATCCGACGAGGCCGACTGCGGACATCACCGCACCATCAAATAAACGATCTTGCCAGTCATACAGCAGGAGCACCTTTCACAGGGAGCCCAAAACGAAAGGTGAGCGTTGCAAAAGAACATATAACCTCGTAGTCAACGGTACGCTTGTCCTCCGGACCGCATAACTTACAGTGCCTTAAGCTGGACCTATTTTCACAATACGGCCCCCATATGTCTGAGTAGTCGGGCCGGTCTTGTCCGCCACTGGCCTCAAAGGTCAGCACTAAGACCGTGGCTGCGAGCAGCATTCCGCCGGCGGCCGGGAACGGACGAGGCCTCGCTACGCGTCAGTGCTCTGCGGACGTAAAAGTCAGTCCAAAATTCATGAGTATGCTGCTTTACTGCACTCTCCTTCTCATTCACTTGATGAGACATTCGTAGGTGCAAAGGCTATGCCCGATCCGGCAAGACATACGGGTCATGAAGCGACCATGTGCGGCTTATGTTGATTTCTCGAAATAAATCCAAAAGGTATAAGCGCGGAATATGCACTACACGTTAAACAACTTATTTGGGTGATGTAAAATGTTATGTTACGAGCTGCTTGATGTGATCGGTGACGTTAACATACATGAACTAGTATATATCAAGGTAAATCACTGGAGAAATAAGCATATTTGAATCCTGCGATCAGGCTCACAATCTTCCAGCATGAAACGGGTAACGACGTGTTATTTGCCTTTTGCGTTTCACTCCCTTCCATTTCCCTTTTCTACGAAGGTTTCAGTCCTAGTCAGTGAGTAGCAATCTGGCGAAGGAACAATTGCAGGGGAGGAAATGCAATACAACCCCTTGGTCTCAAGTCTGACTGTACATTGGTGCACGAGTGTCGAATTGCATTCTTTTGTGAGGGGCCTGCCCCCTCCCCCAATGTCGAGTTGGTCCCCCAAGGTTGGCTTGGGCCCCTAATGTTTTTGTCCGGAATATTACAAAAGCGTAGGAAAAGCCGGCCATCACACAAAAGCTATCGTCCATGATCCCGTCTCGTAGCGGCGTTGCCATGGAAGGTGCAGTATGGTCAATGGAACCCGCAGTCTCAAAATCATTCCCTCAAATGGGGATAACTTTACGCATTGGAAAGAGCCATTTCATGTTTCATGTCTTGTGTGCCACAAACCTAACGTTGTTTTACTGAAGGCTGAGACCTGAATTGCTCTGTTGCCATGTCTCATGAGAACAAATCGGGTAACATAATTTTTTTTGTCTTTGGCGGCACCGTTAATTCACGTTAAAGGACAAGCTCAGAGATAAAATGGACAACTGTACCGAAAACTAAAATTTTGCTGGAACCAACTTTTAATCTGACTTCGTGTTAAAGATAATATATTGCTAGAACTCCGAACCGACCATCCTATTATTGTAATGCACGTTCAAGGGGTCCATTTTGCCTGGGTCCCTTATCCAAATAGTACGCAGGGACCTTCACCGTATCATGCGACCGCACGACCGTCGGCTGCCCTGTAACTAGGCTGAAACTGTCAAGCCAAAGGCCAATTGACCCTCTTTCACAACCCATAGATGACAATTTGCTAGATCCTGCGACCAATAGGTTTTAGCGTTTTTAGCTGTAGTCTTCCGCCATGATGGAGGATTCAACAGTTCGAGACTAAATCAAACTCTCAGACTGCAAGGTAGAAGTTCTTCGCCATGAGTGGCAGATGATAGTATCATTTGATAGCACATTATCTTACGTATGTAAGTCGAGCTTGCGTTGTGTGCTGAACATTGGTAACTTTGTTATGCTGGTGAAGAATTAGCCCTCATTTATTAAACTGGCTAACAAAATGTAATACATTTATTCAACGGGAATTGACGCGCACCCTATGCGCGAAGCACCAATTCAATACCGAGCATGCATGTGGTGGCTTTATTAGCAAGCGCCCGGCTGGATACCCTTCGTTCGGGGGGATTCATTTGACCCCCCTGAGCTCTCAAGATCTAAGAAAGTTAGAGACACCAAAGTTACGGGATATGTTGACCTGTACGTGAACTCATTTGGCTCAAAGTTTCGAGTTCCTATGTCATGACATTCAGGTCAAATGAGGTCAAACGAGATCAAATTCCAGGTTGGTCTCCAAAGTGCCCTCAGAACCTAGATTACCGTTTCTAAGAAAAAAGTCACATTTCCCTTGAGGTCGGCGACCTTTTTTGAACTTTTGAAGGTCATGGTGACTTAAAGTATACAAGATGGCTCTGAGTTTTGCACTTGAATAAGCGACAAAGATTATGCTAGGCGGTATGTTTTTAATAACAAATATGTTGACCTGGATCATTTCAGGTCAATGACCTATTCTCATCTCTAAGAAGTCCATGGAAGATGTATGATGTGGTTCCCGTTATCAATAAATACGAAATGAGCACCAGAAACTAACCCATACAACAAACCCTAGATTAACAAAACAGGTTGTTTTTTGGCCTTGGTCTGACCTTCGTAACTAACCTTAGGTCAATACAATTTGCTCATTTAACTGTTCTGTTGCCTAGTAAAGCATCTCAGAGATGTATGGCTTTGTCTAGCACTCTATTGTTACATCAGATTGAACGATTCCCCAGAAATTGGTTTCGCTGAAACCATGGCCTGACCTTGACCTGTCATTGGTCAGCGACCTTGCGGAGTAGATCCAAATTTGTGATGCCAAACGATCGGCTATTCAATTGCTTATTGCTATACAAAATTTGGCGCCGCTACGCCGCGCCGTTCGGAAGCCATTCCGGAAACACTTTCGGGGGGGGGGGGCGGTCAATTTGACCCCCATCCGAGAGCGCGTTAAGAGCATATGCATTTTCTACACCACGGTGACAATAAACTCAATCCCATCGCTATTTCTGCGACGCATTTTATGTATGTTATTGGGGAAGTGGACACAAATGGTGCAGATTATGTAATTTGGCCGCATGAACTAAGTCCTTCATAACTGACGCCGTCCCCATACCCACAACCAAAAATATGTACCGCCGCCCATGGCCACCATAGAAGAGTGCCTTCGGCGCCCTTAGGCGGTCTCTAGAGGGGCATCCTTACTTTCCGATAAGAAGGGGCACGTGCCTTCAGTCTCCCCTCCGTATCCGCCCCTGCATACCTACCATGCTGCATAAGTTAACTAAATTTGTAATGAAATACGAACTGGAAATATAAATCGCATTTCTTCAACATGAAGTGAGTTTAATCCGATGAGAAGAAAGTGAAGGGGCGGGGGCGGTAGGCTATCGGTCCCTCGACTTGGTCCCTCCAATCAATTACACGAACTGACATTCTTGCTGAAGTACCATTTCTAAGGGATTTCTTAAGCTTTCTTGCCGCAAACTCTTTGAGTGAGCGCAGCGACAAAAGTGGCCACGTTAGCGCTCAGGTACAGTGAATAAACCGGAATCTGAATCCGAACCCCCACGTGAGAACTGAGGACGCTCGTCACTCAGCCTTACGTCCACGTACTTTGCTGCTCAATCGAAAATAGGTCACAAGGGAAACTTCTGTTCTTCCCATTCGGCTGGAGAGTATTTCATGCAACGTTGTCAGGTTTGCCATAAAGGTCCATGAACCATGCATGTTGAGCCGAGGGCCATCCGTGTGAACCCGAGATTAAATTTTAGTACCGGTCCGCGCCTGACACTTTTTCGCAGAAGAATACTTCTAACTGTTCGCGTCGGTAGACTGATGATCAGAGCACTTGCTCAGAAAATCCTGTGTGTGATGAATCCACCGAATCCAATCCGTCCGATGTCCTGCATCCGGCCGTTTTGCCAGACATAACTACAGCTACTAACGGCCGCCAGCGGCTGTTAGTAGCTCTGTCCAAACGTCTCTTCACCCGATCGTAATTCGAAGATGCAATAAATGTAAAAGGGGTCCAGTACGTACTGGTGATGGTGGGACTCGTTTAAGGAAGGAGTTGGCAAGGCCCAGGAAAACTGCACTCAAATGGGCTTAGTAGTATTTTCAGGGTGCTCAGTTAAATACACAGAACTGGGTGTTTTGTGTATTGTTTTTGTGTGTTTATTTTGGGCCAAGGGTATTACTCGGCGAATGACTGGAGGGGCGAGCCGAGGGCTCGACGACCTACCCTCCGGCACCAATTTTTTTTCTCAACGGATTTAGCCCAATTCATTTAAACAGCAGGCAATTTATGCCTTTATACGTGATCATTTTTCAAAATAGTTTTCATTTAAGTAGCATAGAACAATCAAGCGGGGGTGGATCCCGAGAACGGGGAGGAGACGGGAGCACTGAAGGCACGTGGCGCTTCTGATCGGAAAGTAAAGACCGCCTAGAGGCCGCCTAGAAGCTACCTTAGAGCGTCGAGCGCATTCTTCTTTGGCGGTCGTGGATGGTGGCGCGTTTTTTGGGTTGTGTGAGACGGGGACGGGGCTAGTCATGGAAGACTTCACCCGCATCCGGCGATGGGAACTTTAGTCCCTCTACGGTTATTCTGGCACAGTTAAAAAAAACAAACGCCTTCAGCACCACCAAGTTTTAGCACCTATTCATCTATCAGTTTGGCGTCTTTATGCACATTTTAAGCTTTGATCTGCCAAAGTCAGCGGCCTAGATCAAGTCAAAGAGGTTAACTTCTAAATAATTTGATCACGCATAACTTTTTTATGCGTTAGTTGACAATTGCTTAAACTTGTCGTAGTAATAGAACATGATAGTATCGACAGTTTGCGTCTTTAGTATTTTTCAACAGGTGAGGTTAGAGACCTGAGATCAGGCAAATTTTTGCTATTTTTTGTAAGAAATGCAAATTTGTACATATTTGTATGTAGTTTTGGTGCTTGTATATGAGTATATAACTTGTATAGGAGTACTAACTCACGTGCACAACTATCATGTTACAACAGACGACACGACAATGGCCTAGATCATGACCTATCTCTGCGGGTGCCTTCTGCAGAACACACGCTGGGCTCAAAATAGACGGTTTTATTAGATGATTTTGAGCGCAGAATACTAATTTTCCACTGAAAACACGTGATATCACTCTAATGAGTACCGAGGTCACAATAGGTCATGTTTAGATATACAAGGCCACATGAGATCATTCAAGGCTAATGACCTTGTCATCAGTAGCGGAGATACTAGATGAACGAGTGCGACGCTTGTAATCACCTTCATGTCGTGTGTTGTGAAGCTGATGACAAATCGTTCCATGAGCTTACGGGACTGTTATCAGTTTGTTACAAATACCTTGACAGGCGTCTATTATGCCAATTATGCATCCGCAATGCATGCAAGAAAAGTGCGTTCTTGAGTGCCTGCAGTTGTAAAACGCACCATTTCTGACCAAAGGAAAACATGGCACTGGCCACTTAGACCCGATTAGCACTTTAACTCTTTATTCATATGGTTATGACTTTGCCCTAACCTGACCTTAGGCAACTTTTAAGGAAGCCCTCGGCAAAAGTCTGACCCGAAAAGAAGCCAAAAATAATGGTACTTTTGATCTAAGCCACTTTGTCCCACAGCTGTGCCTTATAAAATAAGCTTAGTCGGGAGCACATCATGAAAGAAAACAAAAAGGTATGGGTTTGTAAGCTACTGATAGATCACTTTTGAACGGCGACCTTACCTGACCTGACCCCCGTGGGCAAACAAAAATGGCCAAAATGACTCCCCACAGTCTCAGCGCTAACTTCTGCACCCCCAATATCCGTCTTGAAGTATTAACATATGTTTTAACTGCATCTGTCAGTATGACCTTTTTTACTTTCGTGACAACTAGTGATCTTAATTTTGATCTACAATTTGTGTTGATCTACGAACTGTACTGCATCGTTTATCCACTCAACTGTCACGATTTTTACCTGGTGTTGAGAGCAGACAACTTTTTGTAACGAGGAGGGGGTACTTTTGTGTTGGTAGGTGCACTACTCTATGCGGCAAAGATGTATATCTCGTTTGTATGGGGGCGGTAAGCATCAGGCTACATCGACGGATTTAGTTGAGGGATTTGGGGGCCGCGCCATTCGGCTAAATTACACAACCAACTTCATTTTCCTTTTTTAACCTGGTCACAGCCGCCCTCGCACGTGCAAAACATTGCTGCTTTATTCAGTCATAATTTTTGCGTGACACACGATTGGTGCGCGAAAATTTTGCGCCTGATTCGGTGTTGTGCCCCTCTTTTTCCATTTAATTGCATTCTGGCATCAACAATTGCAACTACAGATACTGTATAATAATCAGTACTCGACAATGCTGTTTTGTTCAAAAATACATAACGGGCCCATTCCACGACAAATCGAAATAAGGTAGATGCATTTCAACACAACGCCTGTTTAACATTTGACGAAGACAGAGCAATTAGGTAATTATACGACCAAAAGACGATTCTCTGAGTTTTAGAGCCGCACGGTGTGCCGATCAAAAACTAACAGCAGGTTCAAATATGCGTGGACGTCAATAACCCCATTTTCAACTTGTTCATGCGGAAATAGTTTGCAGAATATAATGTTTGGAAAAGGTGCATCAGAGAGCTAGATATTTTTTCGCTAAACGTGGGCCAACGTAGAATTCAATATCAACCAGATACATGTAGTGAGCTAGTTTGACCTTTGACATCGTCTTCTAATTAACTGAATCTTCGACTTTTTACCAATTTGCAAAGGAAGACCGATTCATTACCGTTTAGACAAACAACGAAATCGACGGGATCTCCCTAGATCGGTCGTAAATCGAGTTTGATCATGAGAGAAGCACGCGCGTCGGCGAGTTTGGACATGAGGGAAGCACGCGCGTCGGCGAGTTCTAACACGAGGGAAGCAAGCGCGTCGGCGAGTTTGAACATGAGGGAAGCACCCGCATCGGCGAGTTTGAACATGAGAGAAGCACGCGCGTCGGCGAGTTTGGACATGAGGGAAGCACGCGCGTCGGCGAGTTTGGACATGAGGGAAGCACGCGCGTCGGCGAGTTCGAACACGAGGGAAGCAAGCGCGTCGGCGAGTTTGAACATGAGAGAAGCACGCGCGTCGGCGAGTTTGAACATGAGGGAAGCACGCGCGTTGGCACGCCACGAGCCGACCGGCTGGTATCGGGTGACCGGGCGCGATCGGCTCGCTGCGCCAGGAACTGCGACCGAAACCTTGAAACCCACCGGAACTCAGGAACAGTGTATCAATAAAGACTGTATTTTGATCGACCTCACGCACTTTGCATCCATCCCAAGTCACGTAGAGGGAAAGCCAAATTATTTTTCAACAGCATGGTGTGCGGCTATACATTTTCAGTTTTTAAGCCGTGGTTTATAGCACGCCCTGTCACTGCTCATGTGCTCATGCCACTTGATGCTCATACCAAAAATGAAAGCAAGCAGCTTCAAATCCTCGGTTGTTTGTTCTGCACCATAGGTTGTGTACAGCTGGGCAGTTGCAAGCAATATTATGCACTGCATTCATCCTTCATGGGATTACTTTGGATGTTCCAGTAGTTACGCTCATTGACGTAAATGCAACTGAGACATGCTTACCCAGTGTCGATGACTGTATCTGTGCGTTCTCTTCAGCGTTCCTGCGATATTTTCCTTACGTTTTTCCTAAACACTGCTCCGCTTTACGGATTTCATCACCCGTCACGTATTTGGGAAACACGCCTTCAAGTGAAATGAAACGGTGAGATTAACCCTTGTCCTGATAAAGGAACCCCTAAGGACTTGATACCTTTCTGGCAGATTGTGCAATGGCGTCCCAATGTTCAGTAGCCTGTGGGGCATTCATTGCGCGTATTTTGAGCTAAAAAGGTGTTTTTCTAGCTTTTCTGGCCCGCACCAGGAAGCTGAATTCTGACTGAACTGTTTCCACCGCCTCAAAACACATGTCAAGTAGATATTCGTCCTGTGTGCGCGACGAATACAGTGGTGCTCCTTTGGATGTTTTTAAAATATATGTGCGTTCTGAAGGAACAAAGGACAAAAATAACGGGGCTACGTCCTTTTAGCTGATCTAGATTTGAAAGGAACAGGCTGAAGTATTTAAAACTCAGCATAAGTTGTTATGTTAGGTTTTCGTTCCGTTGAACTTAACTATTTCGAATTGGACTAAAATGCTTTAATTTAACTCCACTTTTTCTAAATTTGAATACGATGCTTTTCAGTTAAACTTTATGTAGCTGAAGTTCAATTTAACCCGTCATCTAACTGAGAGCTATAAGCTCGGGGTTTAACGTTATTCATGGAAGTCAGCGGGTGGGAGTGCAGTTTGCTCTTCAGGATTCGAGCACGCACCACACACCAAGCTCCCAGAGGACGACTGCACACAGCCTGCTCATTTTCAAACACGATGATGAAAGCGTTTTCCCAGCTCCCACATCCTTTTTTCCTTCGGCGCAACACAAATTGATGAAAACATCAATATTTGAGAACGTCCGCATCAACGACCTAGTTATGCACCTGCACGCCTTCATCTGCTTCCGATCAGAACGACCAGCAACCTCTGCAGGACACCGAAAAACCGCGGGCACCGCCGAAAACCCTGGTCTACTTCAATGTACACACGAAGACATCTTCAGATCCGACGCGGCACCAACAGCGGGCATCGTTTTACCGTGTTCCAACGCCAGCTGTGGCCGAAGCGACGTCAGATGGAAGCTCCCACCTCCCGTCAGAACAGCACAGTCATCTGCTGCCACAGGCCACGCGACGCGGTAGCTGCCAGCCGTCGTCGGCTCGAGACAATGTCAGGACTGGAGCCCTCGTGTCGCCCGCACCACCCCCTCGCCCCGCCTCCTCAAGCGCCCCGCCCCCGGCCACGGCCGTCAGTGACGCCGCGCCGGTGGTGCCGTCCATGTACCACGGGGCAACGCCGCCGCTGTCCAGCGCCGACTAAGGAGGCCCAAACAACGGTCCAGACTGCCGAACGTGTTTCCCCACTTCATCGCAGGTGCGTACCAGCCAAGATCAGTCCGGCTGGCTTCGGCTCGGGTAGCTAAAGGACCGAGCGAGAGGGACGGCGGCCCACAGTTTTGATTCGGTTTTACGCATCGACACGTTTTGATGTAGAGCCTGCTGAAAGCGGCCACTCCGCGGCCGAAAGCGACCGGCTGTACACCCTTGGTTATTGCGCGGGCGGTGGGGGAATCACGGCTGTGCCATGAGGCAGCGTCCTGTGGTTCCGTCCGGCACTCGCCTGAGGAACTTTGGCTTCGGCTAAGCTTGCCACTTGGCATCGAACGCTTAGTGCGCTCCACACCTCAACGATGTCTGAAGGGAGCCCTTCCTGGGAAGCCCTCCGGAAACTACGTGTCAAGACTTAGAGAGGTCAATAAGCTGAAGCAAAACCTGGCTGGACGCGATAATGGAAGAAGCTCGTCAAGAACGCTCGAATGTTTATTTGATACCAACAGCGCAATATTTGAAGGCATGTACTAAATGTTGCTCTAGGGTTTTACAGAACCAAATTCGTGACACGAAAAAAGACAACATCTATTTTAAAACAGTGTTCCTCACATATGACGAGGCATTCCCCGCACCAGACACTGCACCCATACAACGTAACGCATGCTAAATATACCTAGGTTTGTTCTCGTGGTCTCTCAAACATCAGCCACACGCAACGCCATCGTTCCATTCATATCCCTTGGGCATCAGTCCCACACTGTGCCATCACTGCCGCGGCCCTGCTGGTCGTCCTCAGCAAGACTTTGCCACAACCAGAGACGCTGAGACGACTCGGAAGAAGTTAAAACCGGCCGTCACGGCGGCCGGGCCCTGAGACCGGGGCCGGAGCCGGAGCCGGAGCCGGAGCCGGAGCCGGAGCCGGAGCCGGAGCCGGAGCCGGAGCCGGAGCCGGAGCCGGAGCCGGAGCCGGAGCCGGAGCCGGAGCCGGAGCGGGACGGGCCAGGCCAGGCCGGCGGGCACTACTCTGTGCCGGACTCCCGTGGTGGGCCCTGCCAGAAAAAATACGTCAGACTCATCAGAAACACATCAGTTACATAGACACACGTCAGACACAGGCACCACAAATCAGCGTGGATGGCGCGGATGGATGGCGCGGATGGGTGGATGTGACCCACCCCGCACAGCTCCAAGTGAGAGCCCGCTGTCGTCGGAGTCCAGAACTTCAAGTTAAGGCTTAAGGGATACAAATAAGGCATTTGAGTGATTTACAATTCATCCGCACTACCCGGAGGCTATTAGGTTCATACGGCACTGAAATGTACGTCTAACCCGAATCGCAGTAAGAGGACGTAAAATCGCTACGCTTTCGCGAACCGTGAACCGTGTTTTTGGCACCATACCTAAAAGACGGCAAGGCTGATGCCCACTTATCAGGACTCGCATCACAGAACTCAGAACAAATGCACATCACCCATGTTATTTAGTTCACACCACGCCTAGGCCTCAAGGGTGTGCAATCCAACTCACTCACTATTACGGCTTGATTATGGTCCCAATTTGATTTTAAACACTTCTCTATGAACCTTCGCTGGCCAAGCAATACATTTCAAGAGCGATGGCTACCCGAAAATGGGTCAGAGTACACAAATGCACTCACTGGTTCCTGAAACCTAAAAACGAGGTCTTTGACGGAGGGCGAGTCCGGGGCTGTATACGAGTCGAGCCGGAATTTTTGGACTTCCGGGGTGTCTCCGAGCTCCCGCGGCCCCAACGGCTCGAACGCCAACTGGGGACCAACCAGACCGAATTATAAAACCGGTGAAACGCGACTCGAACCTGAACTGGGGGCTATCCGAAACTAACGAGGCAAAGGAGAGCCAAACCCTAATTAGCCTCAAGGGTTGTACCTGGTACTGCAACACGTGCGAGACCAAAGCCCCTAACCAATGCCTGCTTTTAAGGCCCAGCTGTATCTAACCCCGGTCCAGGACGGCGGGAGAGGGCCTAAAGATAGGCTTTCGGCAGGACTCTATCCTCCGCTCTCCGGTGCTATATGGCCGCAGAAGAAGTTCCCTAGAATGCAGTCGATACCAGATTTAGAAAATCTGGTGAACGCTTATCCTGTACTCCAAGTGCATGCCAACTAAGGACAACAATGTTCCCCAGCCTATTGTTGAATTCAACTCAGTCCGGCGTACGTTACAAAAGGCTTCAGCGAGGGATTTTTCATCGTGCTCGCAACGATATGGCATGAGCTCACGGTCGCATTCACTCTCGGGATCCGTTGTACCCAACTGACCACTGCACAGGGACGGCAAATGCGTGCAGCTTTCCCGAGGTCGTATACCCGCGACAGCACCGCCGCCAGCTGCTAAGCCCGCCAACAGGGTGCGATCAGACCCGCCCACACGCCCAATCACAGCAGCGACCGAAACCACGCGGAGGCCGGGCCGAGGGCTAGGGTGGTCGGCGCTGGCGCTGGCGCTGGATCTGGAGCTGGAGCTGCCCGCCTACCGGGGCCCCGTGTACTGACCGCGGCCGGTGTCCGGTACTCGGAGGCAGAGGTGCTGGTGCCGGCCTCGGCCGAGGACGCCGCCGCGTCAGTGCCCAAGCTGCAGCAAGAGCCGGAGGAGCCGGAGGAGCCGGAGCCGGAGGACCCGGAGCCGGAGCCAGAGCCAGAGCCGGAGCCGGAGCCAGTCCCACCTCCGCCCAGCGGCACGCCAGACGCCACTGCCTGCATGTGCCTGGACGCCACCGCCGCCCAGCCGGCCTGCGCAGCACGTGAGGCACAGGGTGACGACGGCTGCACTGCTCACGCACACTTCCAATGGCAGGCATGTGTGCCAGGGCACGCGTCCGTGCAGCATGGTGGCATGTGCCCACACAAGCGATAGTGGCCGGTACTTGCGCACCATTTCATGCGAGCCATTTTTCCCAATCACGATGCTCTTTCGACAGACTTTGGCAGCTATGTGAGGAATATCATCGACCGAATTGCAACTTCACACCATCATCGGCTACTGGCACTGGCATCTGGCATCTGGCATCTGGCATCTGGCACCTGGCATCTGGCATCGCCATCTTTGAATGCTCCAGACCATTGGTTTATCTTCTTGCACTGCACGAGGAGAGTGCCCTCACCGGCTGCACCAGCAGGGGGGACGCCAGCCAGCTGTACATGACATTAAACGGCAGGCGCCAGAAGAAGGCGATGATCATCTTCAAGGACGTCAGCGGCACCTCGTCGATTGGGACCGACGTCAGGTCTCGCCCTGGGGACAACCCCCGTGAGGCGGCCAAACAACCAGCCACCATGCGGCGGGCTGGGCCGACGCGCACGGCTCACTCCACCAACCAGGCGACCACTGGTAATTGCAACATTACAGGAACAATTTGAGATTTCATATTGATGTGTCATTCACATTTAGTTATATTCAGACGCTGCATGATGTATGCAACATTTCGGTCATTAGACATTGGCCTTTTCAAGTTATTCAGTTCATAATGCTGAGAAGTGAGCACGAACGGCTGATGTCACTCCAATGTGCGATCTAAAAGCAGGCTGGTTCGAAATGGCATCTATTTTTTCATCGATAAACAGGGCATTATTACAAGGGAATGGTGTTCAGGGAGTCATTTTTGTCCACCATTTCGTGTCGCCCGCCATCATTTACTTACTGAGAAAGAGCCGGAAGGCAATACCTTCCCGGCAGCAACTTACCATCGTTGAGGAATTTCTTGATGGTCACAAATGCGCCTGCCCACGAGTTCATCACAAGCGAAACCGCCCTCAGGCCAAGAGCCATGACAGTGGCAGTCAGCTTGAACCAGCCAATGGTCATCGATGTCGTGAAGTTCTTGTCATATTTGCCATGGAGGAGTCTGGACATTTCAGCAGATAGGCCGCGCTCAGACTGGAAGAAAGACGGCCGCACTGTGGCCAGCTTGATCTCCAACAAACTTACCGCGGGGCGGTATCGATCAACACAATTAAGACACAGCAGGTGTAAACTATCAACACCTCAAAGGTGTAATATATATATATATATATATATATATATAAATTACATATATAATGTATCATCAGTTACGTTTGATTGCTGAGTGCAATTAAGATGCGTCGAAAGACACATCGGAGGTGCACCTTGAACAATCAACGTCTCCTAAATTTGAGCATGAATGAGAAAACCGGAAAACCGGAAAACGCACTCGGCAAGGTCTCTCCTAAGAGGACGAACTAGTGTACATACCTGGAAAGAACATTTCAGGTATGGATACCGGTCCAATGCTGCCGTGAGTGCTTTAGCCAGGCAGCTGTCGACAAATCGAGCTGAAAAATCAGACAGCCGTTCATGTGGGTCGATTTGGAATGAGCGACTTGGGTTGATGGTTCATTCAGTTCATAACATAATTAAACCTGATCGCAGCGCACTCCGCATGGGACGTTTGCTTGCGCCGTCCATGACAGCAGTTCCAAAAAAGTTTGAACGCCTAAGTTCTTAGTCCAGATTTGCAGTTGGAGCCCGCGCCATTACTAATATCCATCCGGATCGGACAGCCGGACAAAGCCCATGCCTTCGGATGAAAGGGAATGCTGCACATTTACGCAAGATGCATCAGTTAATGCGTAGAGTGTTAAGGAAAGCATCGAATACAAAAAATAGGCTTACGTACTATTGGTTTACACTTATGCGCACTGAAGTGCTACTCAGGCGTTATTTAAGCGTAAGAGACTGCTCTGACAAATTTTACTGGTTTCTAAATATGTTGTAATAACGATACGTCTCTATATCTCGCATACATTATATATAATAT